GGGGCAGCTATAGTACAGCCACGACCGATAGTTGCCAGATGCCACCTAGAAAAAAATCCAGGCCAACATTCTTGGGTGTGAGAGCGTCAGTATTGAGCAAGCCACCAAGGCTGGCACACGCAGCACGAGCTCACAGCACCGCTGTTCAGCTTGAGACCACAGCATCGCCTACAAATACCATTATATATATGATACTGCTATTATTTAGCAGTGATAGTATTACTGAAGCCCCCTGACTGTGATAAAACTGACCAGGATTCTGATAATAACAGGATTGTGGTGATATTTAGCGCTGTGCTCCATGGAGGGAGGAGTAAGGCTGTGGGAGGGAGGGTTGTGGCGTCGTCTTCTGACTGTGTGTGGCCACCATTTATTGACTGCACTCACCATACCAGCTTAGTGGTTCGATATGGTGAACACAAATGTAGATACTTATATATAACGTGTGTATATAGGGTATAAACAGCAAGAGGAGTAGGTTGGGAGCCACCGTTTTGGTGAGGGCGGTGGCGTCGTCTGCACGACTTATCATGTTGTTTACTGGTGACCACAAAAGTCTTTGGGCACCATACCAGCTTATTTGTTTAGGTATGGTGAATAAAACAGGTAGATACTTATATATAATATGTGTATATAGCGTAAAAACACCACAAACAGTATTGTTGAAGGACAAATATTAGTGCGTCTGACCTTGAGAGCGGCCGCCGATCAGCTGACTGTGTGAGTAGCTACGTCTTTGTGGCCTTTACTCACCATACAAGCTTAGATGTACAGTTATGGTGAACAAAACATGTAAATACGTATATATAACATCTGTGTATAGTGAATAAATACAGAAGGAGTATTGAATGAGGTGGTGTTGGGGGAGGGAGTGGCAGTGAGTGGCTCGCTGGTGTTTGGCGGTCACTCCTCGTTGCTTTTTGACTCACAAGACCAACTTAGTAGTTCGTTATGGTGTACAAAACATGCAAATACTTATATATAACCTGTGTATATAGTGTAACAACAGCAAAACTATTTGTTTATTGTTTTATGAACATAATAATTGAATCACTAATATGCACACCATAATTTTGAGTACAGCGATGGTTCACACATTTTATAATATAAATATACCACAATTCACTGTATGGAATAATATTACTGCAAAAAAACTAAGAAAAAATCAATCAGAGACATTGAAATAATTAGGTAATAATATATTTGTGGCAACTGCCGTCTGACAGCTCGGGCGGAGTAGACCTCATCTGGCGAAGGCTCTGCCAACGCCCCTTTTTTGCCACACTTCCCTACCCTATTGCGGCTAAAATATGCCACCTACGATTTTTTTGTTATTTTTTCCGTGATCAGGGAACAAAAATGAACACTTCTATAAGACGAAAGAATTTTTTGGAATTTTTTTTTTTGTTGCGCCTGTGGGTGTGAATTCCATTTGGGCCCCTAGCGGTTTGAGGGTTAATACCCATTGTTTCGTGTCCTGTCTTGTGTTAAAAGTTTATTTTCACCTCATCCAAAACTATTGTAACATGTCACCTCACCCAAATGTAGGTATAAAAACTCAAAGATGTTTAAACTCTATTCAGTTAAAGATGTGTGTGTGTGTGTGTGTGTAAACTAAAGTCTTTGAAAATGTAATAAGTTTTACGAAACGCGCTCAAGTGTTGCGTCAGACTAGAAATAAAAATGAATTTTGGAGAATTGATTTTTGAATTACCATCAACAGTGAAAAGAAACGTAAGAAAGATCGAGAAAATTCGTGTTAGAATTATTAATCTTACTTTTTCGGTCATATTTAATAATATATGTCTACAGGAAAGACTGCTACCAAAATATACTAATATATATATATATATATATATATATATATATATATATATATATATATATATATATATATATATACAGTATGCAGAATAACCATATGTGAAAAATAGAAAATACTTAACGCGTTTTCGGCTAATTCGCCTTCATCAGAGCAAAGTAGAATGCTACTTTCTACTTTGATTCTACTTTGCTCTGATGAAGGCGAATTAGCCGAAAATGCGTTAAGCATTTTCTATTTTTCACATGTGGTTATTCTGCATACTTTTTTGAGATATATACAAGAGTTGTTACATTCTTGTACAGCCACTAGTACGCGTAGCGTTTCGGGCAGGTCCCTGGAATACGATCCCCTGCCGCGAAGAATCGTTTTTTCATCCAAGTACACATTTTACTGTTGCGTTAAACAGAGACTACAGTTAAGGATTTGCGCCCAGTAAATCCTCCCTGGCCAGGATACGAACCCATGACATAGTGCTCGCGGAGCGCCAGGCGAGAGTCTTACCACTACACCACGGAGACTGCAAAAAAACACTTGGATCAGTGTTTTTGTGATCATTGTTGCATATATATACAGGCATACCTCAGTTTAAGAGTTTATTTGGTTCCTGGAGACGCCTCGTATTCCGAAAACTCGCATTCCGAAGCTAATTTCCCCATAAGAAATAAAGGGAAATGAATTAATCCGTTCCTGACTACCCCAAAAACCCCACATCAAACTAAATTTTTATACCTAATTCATCTAAATAAACCTACAAAACTATGTTCAAGTTATTACTTACCTTGCTGTTGAATGCTGTAGGCGTATGGAAGATGGTGAGGAGGTGGGAGAAAGAGAGGAGTTACTGTTTGGAAGGGGAGTCCCCTTCCATTATCACATCAGGCAGTGAGGACTTCACTGGTATGCACACTCTGGCACATTTTGCCTGCATACCACTAGGACTTGCTTGTTTTACTAAGAATTTGTCTAATGAGACTTGTTTTTCCCTACATTTTAACACTTGTCTGTAGTAAGACATCACATTATCATTTAAAAGGTCAATGCAACGGCCTGCTACAGCTTTATCTGGGTGAGTTTTTTCAACAAAACTTTGCAGTTCTTCCCATACTTCACACATTTTCTTAATCAAGAAGGGACATCCTCTACTGCCTCTACTCACAGCTATTTTCTTAGGTTGAACCTTACCAATGGCTTTCTTGATACCCATGGCAAGATATATAATGACAACTTTTATGCTCAAATGGCCAAAAAACCGATAAAAAACTGTAAATCCTTGTGAAGAATTCAGGTGGGATAGTCACTGGACACGAGACACTGGTAAACTGAGGCGCGATCGCCTTGCCACCATGCGCCAGTCGGCCTGTACGTGTATCAACAAACTCGCGTCCCGAGGTAACCCTCGACTTCCGAGACATATTTTTGGAGTAAATCCTGCTCGTCTTCCGAAAAACTCGCATACAGGGACACTCGCATTCCGAGGTACCACTGTATATATATACATATATATATATATTATTAAATATGACCAAAAAAGTAAGATTAATAATTCTAACACGAATTTTCTCAATAATTCTTATATTTCTTTTCACTGTTGATGGTAATTGAAAAATCAATTCTCCAAAATTCATTTTTATTTCTAGTCTGACGCGACACTTGAATGCGTTTCGTAATAACTTATTACATTTTCAAAGACTTTAGTTTACACACACACAACTATAACTTGCAAACACTAAACAGAGTTTAAACAGCTTTGATTTTATACCTGCATTTTGGTGAGGTGATATGTACAACAGTTTTGGATGAGGTGAAAACAAACTTTCAACACAAGACAGAACACGAAACAATGGGTATAATATTTTGTAAGTTAAAGGGAAGAATGGAAGTAACTGCAAAGGGCCTATTGGCCCATATTTCTTGATGCTTCTATATTGGTGCGGAGTCTTGAAGTGGGTAGAATATAGTTGTGCATTAATTGGCTGTTGATTGCTGGTGTCTACTTCTTAATGTGTAGTGCCTCGCAGATATCAAGCCGCCTGCTATCGCCTGATATCTGCGAGGATATCAGGCGATATCAGGCGATAGAAGCAGCAAGAGAAAGTATGGACCAATAGGCCTTCTGCAGTTCTCATATCCAATTTATACCCATTGTTCCGTGTTCTGTCTTGTGTTTTCATAAGTTTGTTCACCTCACCCAAAACTTTGTACCATATCACCTCACCCAAAATGAGTATAAGTTTGATGAATCTTTCTGTAAATTAAGTCTTTGAAAATGTAATAAGCATTACGAAACGCGTTCAGGCGTCAGACAATTAAAAAATTAATTTTGGAGAATTGATATTTTTATTACCACCGACAGTGAAGAAAAACATAAGAAATATTGAGAAAATTCGTGTTAGAATTATTAATCTTACCTTTTCGGTCATATTCAATCACTAGCATGCATAGCATTTTTTCGGGCAGGTCCTTAATCCAAATTTTCCTGGGAATACGGCCCGCCGAATCGTTTAACAACCAGGTACTCATTCACTGTTGGGTGAACAGAGGCACAGTTAAGGACTGGTACCAATTAAATCCTCCCCAGCCAGGATACGAGTCCAGACCAAAGCCCTCATGAAACGCCAGGCGAGTGTTTTACCACTACCCCACAGGGACTGCTGCTGGAAGGTATAGCCATTGGACTTGGTTATAAAGATCCCGGTAGTACAGTCAGGTTCGTTCTTGATGTACAATCAAGAATTCCGGGTTTGAATCCTGGTTGGGACAGAAATGGTTGGGCATATTTCCTTTCACCTCATATCTCTGTTCACCTAGCAATGAGTAGGTACTCACGAGTTAGTCAGTTTGTTGTGGGGTTGCATTCTGGGTGGGGGTCAGTAATTCTACCCTGGGGGAGGAGGGGACCTCGATAAAAGCCTAACGTGTATGAATACACTCTGGCTTTCTGTCCCCCGACGCAGTGAATTAAATTAAATGTGACTTGCTTTGTTGGAAACACCTATGAGATAAATTGAAAGAGTAACTAGTCCTATTGAATTATGAAATGTTTCCAAAATAGAATCTGTAGAGATTCCATTTTGGAATCTGAAGAGATTTCAGAATCAGTGGTCAATATCAGGGCATAGGGCAAAGTCAACTGTCCAGACTTGGGTGGTTCAAGAAATCTATTTTTATCTTTCAGTTAAATAACACCAAGAAATCACCAGAGTATCAAGTATCTTGTAAAACTTGGATTGTGATACCAGATGCTGTCTTCCAAACTCCAAGTAAGTTTCGTAGTAGTTTTTGAGCCCATCATGGTCCAGTTGGTAGTGCTTGTGCCAAAAGATTTCAGGGTTGTGGGTTTGATCCCATGTTTATACTTTGCTGATAAAGCTTCTTAAAACATAGGTGATATAACTAGCAACATAATCATTTGATAGTCTGTTGAATTTTACAACCTATCCTCCTGTTTAGATATAGTACCTATTTTGATGATCGTCAGTAGTCATAAATTCTTACGTATTTAGCTTTTTAGATTATACAAGCTTTTAGTATTATACTGACTAGTAAGGAATTTTTTAAGAAAAATGAAGCTAAAAACAAGCTTAAATAGTCCTAGGCCTTGCATAGCACACATATGTATATATTAGGCCTCAGATATCATGTATTAGGCCTAGGAAGGTTAGGTTAGATTAGTTTGTCAAAGCAACACAGTTAAAAAATAGTTTTTCAGTTTGTCCAACTCAATAGTGCCGATTTCTACTTTCTATTTTCTTTGTAAGTCGGTATATATACTATGGTCCTCATCATTACTATAAGTACAGTATTAACAAAACAGGGATGCACAGAATTTTAATACATATGTTAAATATTGTCATTATTATGTGGCCATTTGATGAAATGCTCATCTTGAAGTAAGATCCAGCATTTCATTTGGACGATATCTTGGTGGCCAAAAGACTTTACATGACTTGAAGTTTAGATGGCCTTGTATCTGATTATATTGTAGACCAAGACAATTCTATTATTTAAGAACTCAGGGTGGATTATGAAAGTGAAATTGATAATAGAAGGGGCATACATACTGTATGCCCCTTCGCTTCTCTGAACTATATGGGGAAAGACCCTTGTTGGATAAGTCAGACATGTGGGTAAGCAGAATTCTTACCGGAGAAGTCCAGAAAAAACATATCAAATTTATTGTATACAACCAGCATAATTTGAATTTGCACTTACACTATAATTTAAAAATATATCAATTTAATACTGTAATTTAAAACAGAAATTTCAGCTTACCTTGTTGTAGTTCGGTTTAGTTGCATACCGACAATTTTTCTCTTATCAGTATATTGTGCCTCGCTTTAAACCTTGCAATCCACCCATCACTTGCCCATCACATCATATATGTGAATTTTAATACATATCAGAGACAGTACTAGTGACTACCAAACTCCAAAGTAACACTCGAAGGCGACCAGCCATTTTCACAGAGTTCTATGACACGTAGCTTATCTTTAATGGTTTGCACAACTTTCTTCCTCTTAATACCTCCAGAATGATTATTGTTGCTACCAGATCCAGTCTTTTTAAAAAATAATCAAAATTACTATAAAAACAAAAAAGTTATTTAAAAAAATAAAGGGTCCCGGTAGTACAGTCGGGATCGTTCTTGATGCACAACTGAGAATTCCGGGTTTGAATCCCAGGCGGGACAGAAGGGGTTGGGCATATTTCCATTTACCTAATGCCTCTGTTCACCTAGCAGTAAGTAAGTACTCAGGAATAAGTCAGCTTGTTATGGGGTTGCATCCTGGGTGGGGTTAGTAATTTGGCCGTGGGGGGGGGGGGGGACCTAGGTATAAGCCTAGTATGTGTGAATACACTCTGGATTCCTGTCCCCCGATACAATGAATTACAATTACAAATTATAAAATGTTTCATTAATGGTGCGGCACTGTGGTATAGTGTGAGGGTCAGGAGCACATGGGCTGTATAGCTTGACCAGGTCTTGATGGGTTCACTTGGGGCAGGCAGGCACGTTACGTAGGTCGCCAAGAGGAAACTACAAATTTCCCCCAGATTTTATGAGGAAACTACAGTTTTCACCCTGTATACATATTTTTTAAAAGATTTGTATTTGTTATAATATTATATAATATTTCTTGAGTTTTTACTGTAATGAATTTGTATTTTTTTCTGGGGGGAGCCCCGTCGGCTCCCCGGAGCTATCCCAGGCTGATATGCTAATGTCAGACTTTGGCATCAGTCATGTGTATGGAGTTCTTAGGCCTACCGGGGACCACGGCCAGAACCGGGCCCCCTGAGAGAGGCAAGGGGAGCAATGGCCTATAGAAGCCCCCGTGTGGTTGGAAGCATTCTATGTCTGCCATCGACCGGAACAGGCACCCAGAAAGGTAAGCGCCTCAAAACAAACCCCTATTCTGGTTAAAATTGCTACCAAAAACCGAACTAGTGGATAGAACTCCCCAACCGAAAACAAGCAAACTAGTGTGACGTCACACACCGCCGCGCCGCTGTCAGCGCAGCTCCCCCCTCCCCGGGAGAGGGAAGGGGGAGCCCCAGACCCCCCCGCTCCGGCTACCCACACCTCAGTTCTTGAGGCTGATGCTATAGGCGATGGTCGTGTGCTCTGGCTCCGGTGTCACTACTGCACTGTGCTTTGCGTGTGGTGTTGGGTTTGTGGGTGCGAGAGCCAGGAGTTATCTTCAGTACTCGGGCTGCATGCGCCTAGGGCTGCCTTCCCTAGGTGCCCTGTAAGTACTGCCCTTGGGGCTTGGGGCCACCTTCCACAGGCTCCTCGGGGTCTGCCTCTGCTGGTCCGTTTTACCTTTCGGTTTTTCGGCCGCCTGTTGGGCTCTTGGGTGTTCTGTTCTCCCTTGTTACCGGCAGGTAAGAGGCAGTTTGCACTGGTAGGGGTGCAGGGTGCTGCTCAGCTTGTATTTACCGACATCGCGGCCGGCTCTGTTCCTTGGGGTTCGCTGTCCTCTTGCGGGGTTTTGTTTTTCTTTTTGTTTTTGCCTGGTGGGGGGTTCTGTCATTTTATTCAGTTTGTTTTTGCCCTTCCACTGTTCTCCTCGGTGGTGCCCTCTGCTAGGTCCCCGTGAGTGTACACGTCCCTGGGGTTCAGCTTTAGAAGTTTGTTTGGTAGTTTTGGGTGCCGGTTTGCAGCACCCTGCCTGGGACTACCTGAGCGCGAGTCCTCTTAAAGTAAACGCTCAGGACCCTGGGAATCCCCTAGGGGGCGCGTGGGTCCGATGGACGTGACCCCGGAGTCCCCACTCGCTGTGTGCGAGTTTGAGGGTTGCTCGGTTCCCTTGTCTCAGGGTTGACCCTCATTGTTTTTGCCTCTGCCACGCTGCCTGTTGGGTCGGTGATACTTTCGACCCTGAGTCCTGTGAGTGTTGCTGCTTGCTTGTGACTCAATTTACCCAATCCTCTGATGATTCTATTCGGGTACAGGCGGCGCGTGCATTGCAGTCTAGGTTTCATCTGTTGCAACGCGCTCGGTTGGTTGCTCCCCTGGATGCCCCGGGGCTGCCCCACTTAGCTTTTCGAGACCCGGACTTGGGGGTGGGGGTCGCTTCGATCCTGGTTCAGTCTGCACCTCCTCGTCCTTCCCCTTCTGTTCGTTCTGGTCCCGCCCCCCCCCCCTGCTTCCGGCCCAGAAGCGTCTGAGGGTTTCGGGGTTGGAGCAGGGGTTACTTGATCTCGAGACTCGGGCAGCTTCGGGGGGTGCCCCTTCCGGGGATGCGGCAGAGGCATTCGAGTCTTGTCTCCCGGCCGAAGCTTCAGGGTCTGACCAGTGGGCCCCCCCTTCCTCCAGCTTTTCCGGCTGCTCCGTCCTTGTCTTGTGGGGTCGGGGCTTGGGGAGAGGACTCGGACTCGGGTCCTGTGGTGAAAGACCTCGAGGCTGGGGAGGGGCTGACTTGGGGGCCTTGGGCCCCGCTGGACCCCGCCTGGGTTTTTCTTCCCTCTGAGCGGGGCTTATTGTTACAAGGAGTGGGGTTTTCTTTTCACCCCGCTGCGTACGAGTTGGATTTGGTGTCGGCCCCTCCTCACGTTCGGTTCCGTGTTCCCCCAGGTACGTCGGTTCCGTCCTTCCGGAGGTTTTTGGCTTATCGCATCCAACCTGGTGTGGTGCGAGCGGCCTTTGCAGCTTACCTCCTGAGTGACCCGGATTATGCCTCGGAAATGGATCTGTCCACGTTCAGGTTTGGGACTTCGTTCCCTTTCTGGCTCCGTTACGAGGTTCCGGAGTCGTCCTGGCTAGCAGACTGCCCCTTGTTTGGTCTGGATTCCTGGCATTCCTTCTGTCGTTCCCGCACGCTGGAGTGGCGGGAAGCTTCCACGGTGCTTCAGGTTTTCCTGGGGGGCGAACTTGAGTACCTGAATGAGTGCTTGTTTGCCCCTGCCCTTCCCCGCGATGTGGGCGTTATTCAGCTCCATGTGCAGGTTCCCTCCCTTTCGGCGGCGCTCGTTGCGGAGGACTTGCACGCCCGGGGTCTTTTGGCGTCGGCCTTGCGGTTCTTTTCCCTCCTGGAGCTGTCTTCGGATTGGCTCGTGGAGGATGTGGGGACGCTTGGGTCCGTCCCACCTTGTCCTCGGCTGCGCGTTCGTCGGCTGCCTTGTGGAAGCTGTTCACGCCAATTTTGCGGGATGCGGTTTCCCTGTTTTATGCTTCCCGTCTCGCGTGTCGGCAGGCGGTGCTGGGTTCCTCCGTGGAATCTGCTTGGGCTCTGGCTCTTAGGCGTTCTTCACCTTTTTGTCCTCTTCTGTTTGAGGAGTCGGCCGTGGCGCAGTTTATTCAGGCTGCGTCGGCAGCTTGTCGTCTGATGTCGGACTTGTTGGTTTTCCGGGGGTCCCGGGGTGGGTCTTCCCGGAAAGGTCGTGCCAGGGCTCGGGGTTCCTCTCTTCGTGGTAGGCCTCTGGTGTCAGGTTCGGGGTTGGCTCCTCCTGCGGACCCTCCCTCGTCTGGTCGGTGCGGTGTTCGCGCTGTGCGGGGTTCTGGGTCTCGTAAGGGTCGCCGGCCCTTTCGCGGTTTGCCCCCTTGACGGGGCGATGGGGGGCCGGCTTGCACTGTTCGCCCGCGCCTGGTCCCACGATTCGTGGGCCTTTCGGGTCGTGTCTCGCAGCCTGCGGTGGCGTTGGGTGGCCCCTCCCCCCTTTGGGGGTCGGGGCTGGCAGGGCAGGTTTCTTCCCCTGCGCTCTGTCGAGTCGTCTTGGAGTGGGTTCGCTTGGGCGTCGTCGAAACGACGTCATCCCT